TAATAACAGCACCTATTTGTCAAGGTTGCTCTGAAGATAGCCTTTATAAAGTGCTTTCCCAACCTTAAAGCACTATATAAACGCTAGCTATTATTTTCAAAGGTCAGCTAGGTGGCGCTGCAGTGGCTGGAGCACTCACTGGATCTGGAGTCAGGAAGACTCCTCTTCCTGGGTTCAAATCCAGCCTCAGACACTTCCTAGCTGTGTGACCCTGGGCAAGTCACTTCATCCTGTTTACCCCAGTTTCTTCATCTGCAAAATGAGCTGGAGAAGGAAACGGCAAACCACTCCAGTATCTTTGCCAAGAAAACCCCAAACGGGGTCATGGAGAGTCAGACACGACTGAAATGACTGAAGAACAATTCTTTCCAAGACTTTGGCTATCAAGAATCTAAAGTTTGTATACCAACTTCAATCCAGCCTATTCTGAACAGTGCCTCAACCTACTAACTAATCTTTAGCTCAGATTTTCCAGGCCCAGCATAGGATGTGTCCCGATTTACCCAGGCCTGAACAAAGTCTACTACTCTTAGTTGGCCTCCAAAGAGAATGGGGTCTCCTGTCCCTGACTCCCCTGTGGAATCCATTGGACTTGGTCCACCTGGGGTCAGAGAAACAAGGTGATACATCATTTTACAATTCCCAACTTCAGCTAATCAGGAAGCTTAAAATCAAGGCGGCTTTCAGGACCCTACTCATATGGCCACTTCCCTACTTAGCTTCCAGACAACAGGCCCATTCCCCTCGGTAACTAAGGCACTTCAAAATTCCCCCAGACAGTCCCTGGCATTTCACTCTTCCTCGGTTCCCAAAATCTGTTGCTCCACCCCATCACACCCACTTTCCTAGGCCCTAGGGTTGGAAACTTCAGAATGCTTCCCACCTTTGCCCTCATCCACATCAGGTCTTTTTTTTTTTTGGCAATGGGGTTAAGTGACTTGACCAGGGTCACACAGCTAGTAAGTGTTATGTGTCTGAGGCCAGATTTGAACTCAGATCCTCCTGTATCCAGGGACGGTGCTTTATCCACTACAGTGCCACCTAGCTGCCTCCACATCAGTTCTGGTTGATTTTCCCTCCATACCCTGTCTCACATCAGTCCCCCTCTCCACCCCTATGGCCCTCTTGCCTAGACTACGCAACTGTCTAATTGTTTTTTGCCTCTATAGTCTCTTCCCTACTCTATGACTAAACTGGACAGCAAAGCAGAGGACAAAGAGTGATGGCAGCAGTGTCGGGAAGATCTAGCACTTGTTAGCTATGTGCTGAGGGAAATCTCTTCCCTTCCCTAGGCCTCAGTTTTCCTTTCTGTAAAATGAGGGAATTGGATTAAATTGCCCTCTGAGGTCCCTTCCAGCTCTAGGATCCTCTGGATGACCCTGGACAAGTCATTTCCCCTCTCTGGGCCTCAGTTTCCTCCTCTGTGAAATGAGGAGAGTAGACTAGAAGGGCAACTAGGTGGCACAGTGGATAGAGTACAGGGACTGGAATCAGGAAGACTCATCTTCATCAGTTTAATCCGGCCTCCAACAACAACTAGCTGGGTGACCCTGGGCAAGTCACTTCATCCTGTTTGCCTCAGTTTCTTAATCTGTAAAATGACCTAGAGAAAGAAAGAGCAAACCACTCCAGGATCTTTGCCAAGAAAACCCCAAATGGGGTCACAGAGAGTCAGATATAACTGAAATGATTCAACAACAACAACAATAAATTAGAGGGCCCCTGAGTGACCTTGGGTAAGTCACTTCCCCACCCTGGGTCTCCTTGGGTTGTACTAGATGACCTCTGAGGTCCCTTCTGGCCCTAGGTCTCTGCCCCTTTGGCCATATTGGGCTACTACGCCGCTCTCAAGACAACTCCATGATTTTCTTGATTTGGCTCACCCTCTGCTTGGATAACACCAACCCCATCTCCGCCCACCGAAATTCCATCTAACCTTCGAGGTATAGTCCTAACGCCCTGATATCTCTGAAGCCCTTCCTAAGCTCCCCACAGCATCCGGGGCCATCTCTAGTCATCCAGACCTATGTCTTGCCATTGGACTCCAATGACGATGAAGGACAGAGTGGAGCTAATGACCGCACACCTCTGCCTCACTTAAATCCAATTCCCTCACAAGTCAAGACATCACCCTCCTGATGTCTTCTTCAAGAATGACGGCCGAACAACAACAAATCCTGAGCCCTGTGGCAGCCGCCTCTCCCTCATCTGTTATCCCCTGCTAACCGCTTGTTTCCCTCTGATGGCACTTATCATATATGGCCTCATTTAACAGTTATTTGTATATCTGCGTGTTCTTTCCTTGTCACCTCTTCTCCCTTACGGACACATTCCCTGGAAACAGGGAGCGCGTCTCATTTCACTGTTTCCTCTCCCGATTGCACTTAGTTTGGGGGTTTTGTACATAGCAGATAGTCAGTCAATATTTGCTGACTTCAATTCAATGAAAATCAATTCAGCAAACATTTATTCAGCTGTTATTCATGTCCTTCCCAGTTGGAATACTCATCTCACCCAACTTCCACCCACTCCCTTCTGGCTCCATTTTACCACTGAGGAGACTGCTAGCCCAGAGAGGGGAGGATACACAGAAGTAGAGGCTCCTACATCTCAAGCCGGAAGGGCCTTTAGAAGTCACCCAGTCCAACCCTCTCATTTGACAGAAGAGGAAACTGAGGCTCAGAGAAGAGAAGGGGCTTGTCCCAGGTTGCTCATAGAATGCTAGAGCTGGAAGGGACCTCAGAAGCCATCTTATCCAACCCCCTCACTTAAGAAAGGAGGAAACTGAGGCCCAGAGAGTCAGGTAATTTGCCCAAGATGACCCATAGAATGACCTAGAACTAGAAGAATCTCAGAGCCAACTAGTCCATGGAGGAGGAGGAAATTGAGGTCCCAGGGAAGTGACTTGCTTAAGACAAGAGAGCTAGTGTTTGAGGCAGGATTTGAACTCAGGGCTTCCAGGGTCCAAGTGCAGCTCTTTAGGTCACACAGTAAGATGAATAACAGAGTGAGGACTAGAATTTAGGCTAAGAGCAATATTGGTGTTTTTTGTTTTTTTGTTTTCCAAATGATGCGTATGTGAATGTATGGGGAGGGGTGATGTGGGATAAAGATGAAGTAAAGACAGACCAAATGCACACCCCTTCACCTGTGTCATCCCATAAGCTGGCTCTGTCATATCCCCACTTAGGTCTGGGAAGGTGACTCATTTCTAGGCACCATGGTTTGAGAAGGAGCTGGAGTACATCCAGAGCAGGACAACCAGGATGGAAAAGGACCTACGATGTATGTCATATGAGTATCTGAGGAAACTTGGGATGTCTGACCTGCAGAAGAGAAGACTTGGGATGTGAGGGGAAGGTGGGGAGTGGAAATTGTTCTACTCAGCTTCCTAATGATGAGAGATGTCTCACAGTTGAAAAGGCTGCCGGGGGCCAGTGAGCACCCCTTCCTTGGAAGGCTTCAAGCAGTGGCTGGCTCCCCAACTATCATGTATGTTGTAGTAGGGATCCCTTTAGGGTTTTTTATAGGTTGGTCTAGTTGGCCAGAGTTCCCTTCCAATACTTTTTTTTGGGAAATTTTATTTATTCTGAACTAAAAAATAAAATTAATATTTCCATAACGTAGTAGAGTAGAAAAAAAAAAGATGAAACTACACATGAAACTACAAATCTATATGTACAACTTGCTATTCCTTCGAAAGCCTGTTAGTGTGTGACCATAAGAATGTGATTCAAAGGGAGTGTCTAGTGGTCTAGAAAAAGGCAGCGGAGGGTGGGGTGCCCACAGGGGTGAGCCCAGTATACTAGCAAGTGCCTTTGGGTTTGCTGAAAATGACTCAGCGCCTGCATAGGCATTGCTCTTCATTCAAACTAAGCCCTCCTTAGAGGCTTCTAACCCAAGATTGGATGACCACCAGTTGGGTGTGCTTAACAGGGACAATTAACTCTTTTGTCCCATGTAGTTTCATTTATGATTTCTGGAAAACCAGGTTTTGATAAAGCCCATTTGGTTTCAAATAGAGCTACATGACTATGCCTTAAACCCAAATCACTAGGGCTCTCATAGTTTTGGCCAACAATGGGCCCTAGCCCAAGTCTCACTGGCTCATAGTTTGGGTTTAGATGGCTCAGAGTGTTTTCAGCCAGAAACCCTGAGGGTCTTCCCCTCCCAGATTGATTTTTTTTTTTAAGTAGGCAAACTAGGCCATCTTTTGCCTCATTTCTTACCTAGCCTTAAATCACTAAATGGGTGTCGCCTCAAAGGCCAAAGTCTCCCATTACATCTGGGGCCATCTCCAGTCATCCTAACCTATGTCTTGCCACTGGACTCTGATGGCTCTGGAGGAGAGAATGAGGCTGGTGACTTTGCACAGCCTCGCCTCACTTAAATTCAATTCACTTACAAGTCAAGACAATACCCTCCTGATGTCATGGGGTACTCTTTGAGGACAGGACAAAGGAGGAACAGCAAAAAATAACAACAAGGGGATTCTTTTTCTGGGAGAGAATGGATTAGATTTTTCTGAGGTTCCTCCCAACCCTGGAATTCCTTTTTTTTTTTTTTTGTGATTCTGGTATTTTTAAGATTGCTATGGCTTCTGACATAGTGCCACCTTTCTCTCCCCTAGTTAAAGGGTACATCTTAAAAACAATACAAAAGTCTTCAAAGCAATGCTTCTCTGAACTAACAACTGTATCCTCAGTGAACTAATTAAGTTTAAAATCAAGAGCACTCCAGGAAAGAGGATCAGTCTTTCCCAGGGCAACATCTGAGGGCCTCCCAAAAAGTCTTGCCAGGATATCCACCTTCCCCAGGGAACCTGCCTTTTCCGGAAGAAAGAAGCTGACAGTTGGACACAAACCAAGGATGTGGATGCATTCCTGGATTCTTCACTCCTCCTCCAGTGGCCTTTGGCTGACCTGAACCTCAGAGATCCTAAGAAATATCCCAAGTCAAGGCTGTGTAAGGCCTTCAAAGCAATGAGCCTATAACCTTACCTGAAGATGACCACAACACCTGGACAGGGAGGACAGGCCAGGAGGAAGATCTGGAATGAAAAAACAAATGATCTTGGGTTAAAACAGACACAGGAAAATAAAGGTGATTAAAATCATAATGGGAACAAGTTAGCATGAAAAACATCTTTGCAGGAAGTCATTCATTCTTCAGTGAATAGATGGTCAGAGGATAGGAACAGGCAATTCTCAAAAGAGAAAAAATCCAACAGATCAACAATCATTTAAAAAAACTCCAAATCACAAGTGATAAGAGAAATGCAAATTAAAGCAATCACACCTATCAGATTAGGAAAGATGATATAAAAGGAAATGACAAATGCTGGAGGAACTGTGGAAGGGCAGGCACACTAATGCACTGATGGTGGCATTGTGAAATAGTCCAAACATTCTGGAAAGTAACTTGAAATGATGCCCCAAAAGTCACTAAACTGTGCTTATCCTTTGATCCAGAAATGCCATTACAGGGTTTATGCCCCAAAGAGATAAAAGATTGAGCAAAAGGAGCCCATTTGTACCAAAATATTCTTAGCAGTTCTTTTTGTTGTAGCAAAGAACTGGAAACAAAGAGAGTGCCAATCAAATGAGAAATGGCTTAACAGACTGTGGCTTCTGAATGTTATTGGATAATGCTGCACCCTAAGAAATGATGAAAAGGACAGATTGAGAGAAACCTGGGAAGACTTCATGAACTGATGCATAGCGAAGTGAGCAGAACCAGGAGAGCAATGATTGACTAAACATTGTCAAAGAAAACTATGGAAGATTTCAGAACTCTGATTAATGCAACAACCAACTCCAGAAGACGGAGGATGAAACCGGCTTCTCACCACTTAGCAGAAGTGATTGATTACAGGTGCAGAGGGAGACATACATTCGAGGACATAGCCAATACATGGATTTTTTCTGATCAATTATACTTATTCATTATAGGGAAGGGCTTCAATTTGTGGGCTGGAAGGTAGTGATATCAATCCACAACAAAGAAGAAAAGAAAGTCAATGAGACATTTAAAAAACACAGAGAGCAGAAGAAAATTCAGAAGGGGACACAGGCAAGGGGGGCAGTGTGGGCACTACTTGCTATATCTAATATATACTCAAAAAATACATAATAGATGACCCCAGTTTTGTACGTAGTCCTTTTTTTCTGTTCTTTATGTATTGAAATGTTTGTGTCTGTAAAGTACATAATTTTTAAAAGTCATTTTTTAAAAATTTAATTTAATTAAATGAAATTTAATTTAGCCAATTAAATCAATTAAAGAAGTTAATTTAAATGGTTATTGAGAGAATAGGTGGCTTAATCTGCTTGGAGAAGTTTTCTCCAGCTGTCTCAGCCATCAGGACAAGACAACATTTCTTGACCACTCTTGTTGGACCCCTAAAGAGAGCACTAGAGGGACATTTATAGAGGTAGAAGGTGTTTCATTCCCCAATGTTGTAGGGAGAGGGATGGAACATGGAGAGCGTGGCAGCACAAGGCAGCATGATACAATGGAGAGAACATTGTCTCCGAAGTCAGAGGACCTGGGTTCAAATCCTGCCTCTGACATTTACTATCTGTGTGATCTCCAGCAAGTCACTTTGATGAGGTCTAGACGTTTAGGGGTGCTGGAACCCCAAAATCACAACACATGAGTCTTGCCTGAAAGAATTCAACCCAAGCCTTCTTTCAGCCAAAGACAAGGTTTATTAAAGATCCGCCATATTGGCCAGACTCTTAAGGAATCTGAGCACCTGTGAGCTATTGACTAGATTGTAAAAATCTGAGCAGTGGCTAGATTGTAAGAATCCCAGCATCTTAATGGAGATAGGATGGACCTTATATACAGAAAGACTATGGGAGGGATCTAGGAGTGGCCAAGTAGTCTATGAGGTAATAGAGACCATTTGGCCGAGGGAGAATAGAGGCTAGATAGGATTAAGGGTGGGAAGTGGCCTGGGGCCATAGAGAGGTAAGACCATGGAGGGCTAGGCTAGGTTGAGGGTAACAGAATTGGGAGATGGGATTATAGCCTCAGGTGAAAGCCAAAGATTTGACCATGTGGGAAAGTCCAGGGGGTCTAGATCTCATCCTCATCAACTTCACTATTTTGGGACTCAGTAAAATGAGGGGCTTAGACTGACCCCCCAGGTCCCTTCCAGCTTTCGATCTAGGATCCTTGGTTTGACCTTGGGTCTCAGTTTCTTCATCTGTAAAATGAGGGGGTTGGACTCCATGGTCTCTGAGGTGCCTTCTTTCTAGCTCTAAATGTAGGATCTTGGGTGTGACTTTGGACAAGTCACTTCCCCTGTGTGCCTGTTTCCTCCTCTGCAAAATGAGGGGTTTGGATTCAATGGCCACTGGGGGTCCTGCCAGCTCTAGGACTGAGATCTTTTGAAGTTCTCACAGAATCCCAGACTATAACATGTAACCAGCACTGGGCAGGGAGGAGTAGGGGGAACTAAGCCAAATTCCAATGTTTCTGAGTAGCTAGAAGAGAACATGGGTAGCATTGAGCTATCACATCCATCCCTGGGGAAGCAGTGGAGAGGAGGGGGAGGCAAGCTTGGAGCACTAATATATTTCCTACTCTCTCCTCTTCATCTTCTTATTTACTTGGTTCCTGTCTAGATAAACTCTCCCTATATGGAGTCAAGAAGACTCATCTTGAGTTCAAATCTGGCCTCAGACACTTAGTAGCTCTGTGACCCTGGGCAAGTCACTTCATCCTGTTTGCCTCAGTTTCCCCATCTGTAAAAGGAGCTGGGGAAGGAAATGGCAAATCACTACAGTATCTTTGCCAAGAAAACCCCAAATTGAGGGTCGTGAAGAGTTGGAAAAAACTGAAAAATGACTGGACAACAACGTCTCTTCTCCAGACCTAATGTTGTAGGCACCAGGGTTGCCTGGTACATAGCATGGCCGAATTAGAGTCGGAAGGGCCTGAGTTCAAATCCTACCTTAGGCAGTTTTATTAGCTGTGTGACTCTGGATAAATTACTTAATCTCTCTCAGCCTCAGTTTCCTCAGCTATAAGATGGAGAAAATAATAGCACTTACTTCCTAGGCCTAAATGAGATAGGAAAAACATAAAGTGCTTTGCAAACCTTAGAGTATTGTATAAATGTTAGCTCTTATTTAGCTGTTGCTATCTCTGAGTAGAAGGCCTGGCCTTCGAATATATCCTAGGGAGGCCTTGGCCCCACTGGACACAGAAGCTGACCTTTTAGCTTCTAGGGCCAGAGGCTCTGGATGAGCTACTGGAGGTCACAAAATCGGCAGAACTGACACCTAGGAATAGCTTTTTATCCCTTTGCTGTATCCATTAAACTACAGTTGGTGACAGAAGTGTTGAGAAATATCACTTGACACTCAGCCCACTGTCCCAACAGACTGAGATCTAGACACTCTTGTCTGTGGACCACATTGTACTAACTGCATCGGGCCCTGAAAAATGACAGGGCCTCCTTGATGAGATCCACAGAGATCCACAGGCACCCAGAGGAGCCGGGCAGAGTCACCTACACAGGCAGAATAGACATTACTGAGATCAGGGGATGCAGTTGTCTGAGCAGCCTACTTGTCAGTCCATTAGATCTGAAATAGGCCCCACAGAAGGATAATGAACTAGGCCCAGAACTGAATAAGAAGGAAAGAAGCATTTATTAAGTACCTACTATGTGCCAAGCACTGTGTGCTAAGCACTTTACAAATGGTTTCTCATTTGAGCCTCACAACAACCTGACAAGGTAGTTGCTAATATTTAACCCCATTTTATAGTTAAGGAAACTGAGGCAAACAGGGTTGAGTGACTTGCCCTGGATCATATAGCTAGTAAGTATCTGAGGCTGGATTTGAACTTAGGTCCTTCCTGACTCCAGGCCCAGTACTCTATCCACTGGGACACCTAGGCTACCTCCAAAGAGGAAGACTGGGCAGAAATGAATCAAAACCGGGGGTGTCCCAAAGGGCAAAAGAGAGATGCATTGTAAATGCATCATCAATGAGAGGCTATATGCAGTAATTAGTATTTCAGGGATATGGAGAGGGGTGGGGTTCAGTCCAGGCCTATAATTCCATTGGTGTATGGAACTCCCACTGATGAAAAATACTCTTTCAATGCAAATAGTAGTACAGGGGAAAGAAAGAGCACTGCTTCTGAAGTCTGAAGACCTGAGTTCGAATCTTGTCTCCGTTACTTACAAATTCTATGATCTTGAGCAAGTCATCTAACTGCTCTGGCCTCAGTTTCCTCCTCTGTAAAATGAGGAGGTTGGACTACCTGACCCCTGAAGGCCCTTCCAACCCTAGATCTAAGATCCCACATGAGTGACCTTGGGCAAGTCCCTTCCTCTCCCCGTGCCTCAGTTTCCTCCTCTGTAAAATGAGGGGGGGGGGTATACTAGCTAGTTTCTTAGTCCTCTTCCAAACTCTATGATCCTATAAGGGAAGGAGCTAAACAATGCAATGCATAAAGTGACAGAATTAAGAGGAAGACCCAAGTTTAAATGCTGCCTCAAGCCCTTACTGGCTATGTTATTTAAGGTCTCCCAGCCTCAATTTCCTATCTCATAGGGTTGTGAAGATCAAATAAGATAATAGAAAGTACTTTGCAAACTTGAGGGCACTATAGGTTTTATTATCATTAGATGCAACTTCTAATCTGAGTTGCTTAGAGCCCTGAGAAATTAAGTCACCCAACTGGTATAAATCAAAGGTAGGATTTGAACCCAGGTCTGGCTGACACTGGGGCTAGCTCTCCATCCACTAGAGCAAGCTGCCTTGCTAGCATAAAATGCATACTTCCAGGACGTGTTAATCATCCCAGGATGAGGGTTAGTTATCTAGCAAAAGTGAGGGAGATATAACCATTCTGCAAAGTAATTTGGAAATATGTCAACAAAGCAGCTAAAACATCCTTTGACCCAGAGATTCCACAGCTAGGCACACACCCAAGGAGGCCATTGACAAAAAAGGAAGTGCCCATAGACACTGAAATATTTATAGCAGCACTTTCTGTGGCAGCAAAGAATTGGAACCAAAGTAG